CAGTTCACACTAGTGCGAAAATAGTGTTACAACTCACCATGTGAAGCAAAAGTGAATGAATATTAAACAACATATAAACCTCAAAAAAGCCCCAGTTAAGCAGCAAACCAGTTTATCTGCCCCCTGGATAATCAAGAGTTGAGTGTATATATGTTATGAAATTCCAAAGGACTTGCCACTTTTTTCTTCAACCTTGAACCATGGTGATATTGTAAATATAACCACAGTATATACAATAATATTTTGTTCACACTGTACACGAGTTTGAACTGTGTCACTTCACAGTTTACGATACACTCTGACGCTCGTGGCACTTCTTGAAGCAGCCCACGTCACACAGAGCGACATCACCCTTTTTACAATAGAAGAGCATGCTCCTGCTTTTCTTATGTAGAGAAAAACACGACGTCTCTGTTTCCCTTTGGTTGGCCAGTGCTGTGAATGTTTCACCTCCAGTCGACTCAGCTGAACCCCAGATAACCTTGGCCTCCCCTGAGAAACGCCACTGACCGTGATATTCAACTTTGAGACTTAGAGATATTGTAAAAATAATCACACTATATGCAATAATATTTTGTTCAAACTGTACGTGAGTTTGAACTGTGTCACTTCACAGTTTACGATATCCCACTCTCTGTAGCGCGTGACAATTCTTGAAGCAGTCTGTGACACACAGGGCAACATCTCACTTTGTGCAATAGAAAACGGTGCTCCTGCTTTTCTTATTTAGCGAAACACATGACGTCTTTGTTTCTCTTTGGTTGGCCAGTGTTGTGAATGTTTCACCTCCAGTCGACTCAGTTGGGTCCCAGATAAACTTGGCCTCCCACGAGAAATGCCACTGACCGTGATATTCGCCTTGTGCGACTGAAGAATCATCTTGGGGGAGGGGGGTTTCCAGCAAAATCGAATAAATTATGTTGATTGACAAAGCGACACTCTCACCTGTTAGTAATACTAGCAAAATAGTGATGCAAAGTAATTATAATTCTAGTCGAAAAGAGTGCCAGCCCGACACCGATACCGAAAGTTCCAGTGACGAAGATGCCTTTTACTCACAAGGTAATACTGGCTCAGTAGGTTTATACCTCTTCCAAGACACAAAATAAAAATGATATACCAAGAAATATATGACACTCTGACACTGACTTTCTAACTGATAAAGAAATATAAGGCAGTCCGACACTGACTTCCTGACTGATAATTCGCCACTGAAAACCAATCCTTGAATGCGTCACACTTCCTTGAAGGCTCTGGAAGCAGTCATCTGCAAGCACCGATGAATATTTCCTCACCAGTTCTCGAAACAAAGCTGGGCTAGATTTGGCTGACCAGATCATAAACAGTCATATCTAAACGTAAATAGTATTGAAGCCAGTATCCTGATAAACGATTTAATTGTTCAGAGCTAACAAATGAACCTCTGACATGACCCTGCATGGGTTTGTTTTGGTTTCAAACCCAAGATCAAACTGTCAGCACTCCCAAAGAGAGCACGTGTCCTGCCACACACACACATATATATATATATAACATTCGGCCAACTGCTGCTTGCTGCATATATATATATATATACAGAAATAACATTCGCCCATTAAAGGTTAAGGGTTTTGAGCCCCCCTGAATAAAATAAGGTGATTTTCAGAATGGCACCTGTGTACGTGCATGGGCATGTGTGTATGCCTGTACTGTCATGTGTCTGGGGTTCTGTGACTAATAATAATGTGTTTTGGAATGGATGATTGGGCTTACTGGCACTTTTATTACAATTACAATCAACTATAACAGCTCACAATCAATAATTGTCTATAACTTTCTCTATTCCATACTGGACTACTAATGTCTTCTCTTCTGCTGTAACTGACTTCGATCTGATTTACAAATCAGTTACTTATGAGGCACAAAGGACAAATGAAGAATGAAGACTCCCTTACAAATGAGCTCTCCTTTTGTAACTTGAAGCAAGCTGAATATAGATTACCATCTGAAATAGATCGTCTGTTACTGCGTCTATTCACTACCGTGGGAAGGTGCTTACCAAACTGCTGTTTAGCAATGGACTATTCCAAGTTTATTTGCTGCCGCGTGTGTTAATTTCCTGGCACGCCACTGTCTAGCTTCACTTCAACTTTCAGGCATCGTGTCACAGTACGTACGTATGTATGCACCTCCCTAGTTCCTGAATAGTTCAACACATTTAATCCACATTCAAGGCTCAAATGCCAGTGCCCAAGGAATATGAACATGTAGCTCCACAAACAGAGGACCATAAGACTGTCCCTAAACAAATATGTATAGGGGGCAGCTTCAGGCAAATAATGGTATGCACACTGGAGCCTCAAAAGACATTAGCATAAATGGGAAAGTAATATTAAAATAATCCTAAAGAAACAGCATTTTGGAATGTTGACTGGATGAATGAAAGATTACTGTATCCTGGGATGTAGCACCATGTAGACTGGCAGAAGTTCAGTGACATTTCAAGAGAATGTACTGTCTCCATCAACAGGGTCAAAGAGTAAGCCAAGCATGCAACAAGCAAGAGCATGGCCTACTCTTTGACTTGTTCCTCAAAAATGCCAGTAAACTTAAACTGGACTATATATAGTGTCTCATTCTAAAAGATAGCACTCTTCATAGTTACTGCTGCAAGAACCTCATGTCCAAGAAATTTACAGTTTTTGTTCAGCCACTACTTCAAGCAGGCTGAAAACTCTGTGGTTACTAATGAAAAGTTAGAGTAAAACCAAAATGAATGTGAGTAAACATATCGAATGTATGAAAAAGTTAAACAGTTCCGTTCAGTGTGACTGAACGGGGCTATTTAACTTTTTCATTATATCAGTGTGACGGACCAGAAAGAAATAAATCAAATTCATGTAAAATGTAGCATGAATTCTGCAATCCAATCCTACCTTGCTGCTGACAGATACTGAACAACATGATGCATCACGGCCAATAAGATTTTCTCCATTGTAGAGTGAATGTTTTACTCCTGCAATCTCCAAGCATCCCAACTGAAAGAAATAAACAAATTTGTTTATAGCTGATGACATAATTGTATAAGCTCTATAACTATTTGTTAAGAATGGCACCTACTGCCTCCACCTTAGGAACTTCTACCCTACAGATGGAGAAAGCAGGCTACTCTGGGACATTGGTACCTATTTGCTATATTACTGGATATCACATCCAGGTAGACTGTAATCTGCACAAATAAGTAAATAAGTACATACATACAGCCTTTACTCTTACACAATTCCTTGAATTACTGAATGTATAAGGGGCGGGCCTTCTCAGCCCTTGCACTGCAACCTATAGCGGTCTACTGTGCTTTCCCTTTTGATTATCCCATCAGCAATCCTGCACTTCGAATGAAGCGCAGGATTTTGTATGTGGGGGCGTTGAAATAGTCACTTGGTTCCACAAAGTACTGACCCAAGTGACGTAATCTTAAATAAGCTAAGGCCTCACATTCACACAGGATATGTGTGGCTGTTTCGCTTTCTGTCTGACGCCTCTCACAAGTGGGACTATCACTTAGTCCCAGTTTGAAGAGGTGTCCTTTGAAGAGACAGTGTCCTGTAAGTAGTCCCACCACCCATCGTAGCTGGTTCCTGTTTAACTTCAACAGTTCCTTCGTTCTTTTAGCAGAGGGTCCTCGTATGAGTCCCTTTGCTTTACACAATTCCTTACATGTTATACCAGTTTTAAGCACTGTGTAATCTGACATTAACTAATTACAAACAGCACAAAATGTCATTTAATTAACGAATATATTTTATAATCAGCAAAGTTAGAGTATCTTAAAAAATGTATACACATTTCTGTAAAAGATATCTATTTATATATTCATGGTGGAACCAAAATTTAATGTGGCATGCACTTAATAGACAGAATTAGCAGCTCCCTGATAAGATGCGAGCTAGTCCAGGTTTATCACCATCATGTTCCTCCAATTGGTTAGGCCAAAAGTTCCAAGAGTGGTCAATGCTCCTACATTGAAGGTTCTTATGCTCTTTTTTGTAGTCTCTTCTTTCAATTCAGAGGAGGCTGACCCCCTATAATGTCCTGACACTCATTTTCCACAGTCTAATGGAAGTCCTGGCTATTCTCTTTGCGATCTCTAGCCCTAGGGTTTCTCTGAAGGTCTCAGTTAACATTTCCCACACTTTCCAGTTGTAGCCTAGGTTTTCTGCTCTGCCCTCTGATGCTGTTGCTGATTGTCCTCTCCTTCCTCAGATGTAGTTGTTCTGTAACATCTCTGTCCCTTATTCCATTGCTGTCAGTTGTGCATGGTGTCTCTTCCCAAATGTCTGTCCTTTCTGGGTTCCTCATGCAACACTGTCCTGGCCTTGTCCCTGATGACTGTGTCCCATACACTGTGCAAGAATGGCATGGCAGGTCATCCCTCTGCAGGTGGTCAACTTCTTCTGAGACCTACCATTGCCCTGGGTCCGCTTCCTTGGCCAGGAGGCATGCCATCATTTGCTCCACTTCCATAGTGTGGCGATTTAACAATCAAGATCCAATGCAGCTTCCAATCTGAGCACTTCTGACACAAGAATGTCATGTTTCAGGGGTGTGACTACAGATGGGGTATGGACTGAATATTGGACTTACTGACCACTTACATGCACCACTGGGAAGTACAAGTAATTACAATGCCACTGCTATTCTTCACAATTCACAGATTATCACAGCACCTGCTAAGCCTTTTTCCAGCCTGCTGCGTCTTCAACAGCCATTCCCTAGCAATGGCTTCTAACAGGGGAGATTCTTCTGCTTTCTGTGCTCACATCATTACTGTACTCTTTTCTTAACAGCCAGACTTTCAATTCTCAACTGAACTGGATCACCATCTCTCCTCAGGCTGCTTTCTTTAGTCATTTCCTGCTAACAAATCTTAATAATGGAGATTCTTCAGCTTCTGTGGTCAACCACTGGCCGCTGGTTAACACTCCACGCCTTAATTCACTCAGCTAGCTTGCAGTCCTTGCTATATAACCTTGGGGTGGACCCAATAGAAAACACTGCTCCAATAATCACTCTATTGTCCGTTATGGGTGGCTATCTAGTGACAGCTTTGATATCATTTCCATGGGAACATGTTTACCAACGACTACCAAGCAACACACATTATTTCTCACAACTGTTGCACAGCAATATTACTGCATGCCACATTATGTTATGTTATGCTATGCTACATTACGTTATATTATGTTATAACCCCACAGGTTATCTATGGGGTTTTGTTTCAACTTTTTAAATAATGAATGGAAAACAAAAATTTTAAATGCAAATTGGATTTATTACTTGCAAATATTACGTGCATATCACATTAATTACGGGTGTCTTTTAACTAACTGTGATTTNCTTCTACCCTGAAGATGGGGGCGATACGTTCCTCCGAAACGTCGGTTAACACCACATATACACGGCGCCAAATCCCAGAAGACTGCTTTCTTCATGTCATCACATCTCAGACTTAGGTAATTTGGGAACGAAACAGTTTTGCATGTGGCTGACCTATGCAAGTTTCTGTGACGAATTTCCAAGAATCATTCCATGCCTAAATAAAATAAAAATTAAGAAAGTAAAAGATGTGGTCATTTCAAACCCCACAAAAATATTTGGGACTTCCTATATGTCAACAAAACAGCCTAAAAACTCATCACTTCAATGATCTGATATAATGATGATATCACTGCCATTCTCTCAAAACTTCCACTCTGCCAGACAGGTTGCAATTAGATGTGTCTGAAGAAACGAACTGCCAAAACACGTTAGAAATGGGTTGGCTAATATCTGCCCTATATTTTACTTTCATTGTTGAACTATTCACTAACAAGATAAATATAGAATATGTTACAACAATTACCTGCTTCTTTTCTCCTTCCTTGTAGTGTGTGGCATCACCAAAATTAATATCATCTAGGACTTGTGTGCAATCCATGGTGAGAGACAGAACCTAACAAAAATAAATATGTACTATCAAATGATAAACCAATATAAGGAAAAGATCAGTATAACAGTGGACCCTCCACCAGACCCTAATATTCCTCAGTTTAAAGTTTTCCCTCATTTAATGTTCAATTTCAATGCTCTCAAATCAATAACCTCAGAGACAAATTTCCTTCATTTAGGAATTTCCTCAGTTTAGTGTTCAGATCCACTGGATTATGGATTAACTGTATAACAATGAACTCCTCTTTGGTTTCCTAAGTATGAATGCCGCAAGCACCCAGCATATGTGAGATTCTCATGGCTGTGAGTATTGGAGTCAGGATACTCTAAGTTGGTATTGCAATAGGCTAGTGGAAAGACAGCTGGGATTCAATTTCTGGCAGGGGTAAGATTATTTTCTTCTTCACAGCATCCAGACCAAGCCTGGGGCCAATCCAGATTCCTATCTATCAGTCAATCAATCAACCAATCAATCAACCAACTAATCAATCAATTTATTTGTTCCAGGAATTCATATTTGGTGATACAACCTTCGGATATACAACAAGTCAATAACTACATATTAATATAACATACATATCGTACATAAGTCAATTAAACTATAAAACTTAACTACCTACAGATTTCATACACATCAATCATACAGTACATCATCCCACTTTCAACAATTCAATAACCAAAAGAAACCCAGCATCCAAAATTTTTTTATAGATTAAGTGAGGACAAGATATTTGTCATAACATAAAACCATAACATACTCACTTAAGAATTAAAGGGGCATAAATTGTTCAATGGAATAAATGGAACGTTTCATCAGAAAAGATTTTAAGACCCTCTTAAATGAGTTAAAATTTTTCTTTAATTTTATCTGCTCAGGGACCTTATTGTACAAGGTGATTCCCATATTCATCACACTTTTTTTTAAAAAGAACTGTACTAATGTAAAAAAGTAAAGCTATCCCTGTAACAGGCCATGAAGGCCCATAGGGTTGTGAGACGTTAAGGGTCCCACACTATCTAGACAATCGGCTCAAAGATGGCGGTAAGGTTGTCAGCCTTACACGCCGGCCGCGCTTTACTCCCCAGGAATATTATTTATTTAATTCCTGGTACTCATTTCTGTTAGAGGCTGAGTGAACCCCAGGGCCATAGTGCAGCCGGAAGGATTAGGTCAATTGAAAAAAATCCAATGACCTCATCGGTATTTGAACCCGCGTACAATGCGTACTGGGGTGATTTCCCTAGGGGATAAAGTGGCCAGGGTGTGAAGCTGACCACTCAACTCCATCTAGTGCCCAGGTCAAGAATGATGGGCTATGCCTCCACTTCCCCATATGTTTTCATGGCATAGTGCTTAATTAAGCACAGGAAATTTACCTTTACCATGGCTGTGAATATTAAGATCATAATCTTCTGGCCTGTAACACCATGTAGCCTGAGAGATCCCACTGTTTCAGTGGCATCTACTGTCACATTTTTATAGCAGGCACTGGGGTTCCTCTCAGTTTTGTTACCTACCTACCAAAGTACATGATGTAGCAACCCATAAGACCATATGCATAATTAAGCACAAGCTTACTGTAATGTGTTTAAGGAGTACATGTATCCAGTGCCAAATGAGTGTTTGATAACAGGGTGCTGGGGAGAACATCTAAACCTCCAAGAGGAAGGTACAGGAAATTTAGTACACAAAAATGCATATATAAGTACTTCATAATTTTAAACACTCATAAAATATAATCAGCATGATGAAATCAACTACGATGACATGGATAGGATGTATAGCATAAACAGAAGATAAATGTCTAAGTTTTGGTTGGGAATGTAGAAGGAAAAAGGGATGACTTTGAAGACCTAAGCTTAGACAGGAGAATAACATAAAAATGGATGTAAAAGAAAGAGGGAGGACCTGGATTCATTTGGCTAATTATATGACCCAGTGACAGATCTAGTAAACATGGTAATGAACCTTCAGATTCCATAAGTTGGGAATTTCTTGACTCTGTTCCATAGACCTAGTTACTTACAGTTGGCCATAATGAAAGATAAAGAGTAAGTTTTCTCCTTATATGTTCACTTCATGAAGAGAATTTACTAAATGACACTTGGGAACATTACAATATAGTGGGAATGTACTTGATTCCTTCTGGCACAAATGAAGCTACATCATATAATATGTTGCTAAACTTCTCAAAAAACCTCTCCTACATTTAAACCTAATACAAACACAGTGTGTTAAATTAATCTAATCTGTAACCGAATCTTAATTTCTTGGAAGAACAAGAATGGCCAATTTCGAAACTGGTTTCTGAAAACTACTAATATTCAACAAAATTAATGGCTTAATTTCAACACAAATGTCCTATTACAATAAAAATAACTCTATAGTACTTTCTTGATTAAAAATCAAATAGAGATGAGAATTTTACTCTTCGGCATGACAATTTTACAGTTCTTAGTGTCTCCAGATTATACAGGTACACTGCACAGTTAACCCTTACTCACTGCCACCAAGTCAAATAGATTAAAAAAAAAAAAAAAACAAAAAAAACTTAACCTCAACTTTCAATTAACTCCATACACATTATTGATTTTATTCCTGTGCATGTAAACAACATAAATTTAAACTTTCTATACTCATATACCACTAATTCACATAGTAAATTCTAAAACATTCATTCGCAAAACTTAATTTGCGCACGATTCCAGAACAATGGGCAGTTTAGTAAACCTTTACTTACACTTTTGAATCACAGTTCACTTCCTTGATATACAGCTCTCTCTTGCACATACGTAATTATGTTCCTCATATCACGAAATTAACAATAATGATACTCCAAAGTCAATAAAGTTTTAAGATACGTAGAAAACACTGATTCAATTTTACAGTCATTCCAAACATTTCAACGCCATCTTCGTTGCCGGTCAGCACCACGGATCCTATGGCTCATTTATAGGTCAACAAGGATTCAATTCCATGGCGTGGTGCTCAATTAGCCAAGGCCAGGGTCAACCTTTCAACATCTTGCCATGGGCCCCATGGGCCACCTTACTAACGACGAGCTGAGCACAGCTCCAATTTCACGGGTTGCCAAAAAGTGTGTCATGGTTTCTCCCCATGGTCCAACAACATAGCAAAGAGTATTTGACTGGAGTATTTCTACGCAGTAGGAGATGGGAATATTTAACAATACCTCCAAAAATAATAACAACAATAATAATAATAATAATAGTCATGAATGTGTCAAAATGCTCATTTGCATTGCCAGTCCAAAGTTTCTGATTAACTGTGGGTTGCCTATTTTGAAAAAGTAATTTTTGGATATCCTGATCAAATATTTCAATATTTCACTTAAGTGTGGAGGGCTGCATGAAATGTATGCAGCAGCTACTGGAACTTAGGAACCGTCTCAGGATTTACTTCAAATCAAAGGGAAACTAGGAAAACTAATGTTGGTCACAGGTACCTGAGGTTTCCAAGTAGAAGTGACAGAGATGGAAGAAAGGATGTCCTGGGCATTAGAAGAAATGCTCATGGAATGACACAACATTCATTAAGATTTGAGGTTCTCAGCAGTGACTATGAAGAGTACGCTTTGGGAAGCGATGCCATGTGATCCAGTAAGTCTTCACTGGCATTTCAGAAGAGCATCCTAGGGTCAGGTGATCAGTAGGGGGGCAGGGTGAGCTGTGTGTGGATGCACTGGCTTTGTTGTTAGAAAGGAACACAGAAATGTAAGTGGGAGTGAGGAGAGGGAAGTGGCTTAGAACCTCAGGGAGGGATGGTAGGAGCAGAAAGAGTGGCTGGTGTTCGACCTGAAGTGTGTCTTTATTTGTTCAAGTGGTGAGATGAGAATGGATGAGAAGATGGTAGGGGGCACTGGTGGGCCATTGTACAGTGCACACAGTCATGGAAGCCTGGTTAAAGATCCCATCCCAGGGGTTCAAGGGAATGTATGAGAGGTTTCCATGGTTGATTTGAATGCAGGGAATCCTCACTGTTGGTGTTGTTTGGTTGGACTCAGCCCTGATCGCCTCCCTGATAGTGTGGTCCATGTGCATGAGTTTCATACAGAGGATGCTGGTGCCTTAGAGCTGAATATGGTGTTCTGGGTTGGTGGCTGTGTCCCCAGTGGTTAACTTGTCCAGATGGTCAAGACAGATGTGCTGATGGTGCTTCTTCATCCTGTTGTCACTTGGGCAGTCTGTCTGCTCTGTGTGGACATGACCATTCTCATGGTGAATGCTACCAAATACACAATCTTACATACCCAAACACTGTAACCTGAACAGACTTGAATGTTGTTCTGTATCATAATTTCTACCATTCACTTCTGCTATAAAAGTTCATCACAAGGTTAAACCAGTTTTGAGTTTCATATTTGATGAATGTCTGACACAGTGGCAGGCAATTGGTTGTGTCCTCATGTGAAACTGGCTCAAAAATTTTAAACAAAAATTCATACTATAGAAATTAAATGGAAGGTTGGAGGTGAGGGACACAGAAAAGGACTCCAGTCAGTTCAGTTTAGTTCATTCAATGGTCACAATTTTATTTTGCATGTAAGGAGTCAAGTCTCATAAAATGTACATAATTGCATTGATCACATTCCAAAGAATGGAAGATGAAAGTTATGTACAACACATTAAAATATACTCATAATCCTAAAGGGAGAAGGGATTTAGAAAGACCTCTATGAGGGAGATCAATTTAAGGCCATCAACTCTGATTTGTTATAAGATATTGAATAATGTATTACATTCTCTAAACTACAGATCTTAACATATTTTCACACAGGCTATGGATATACTTATATTATACATTAAATTATTCAGACAATAATCAAGCAGGGAATATGAAACTGTTCATAGGAACTGAGAACCTCTCGCATACAATAAATATGGATAAAGAAGTAAAGCAATATAACATGTAAATTCATTTTCATAATGTGTATATATTAACAGTCTTCAAGTTCATACAATCCCATTCACCACTTCTACACTACATGTTTTGGCAGTATGCTGCCATCTTCAGGTGTATCGATCCATCAACCATTTCACTGACTGCCTTTATATGTCCATTTACAAATAATATTACATTTGTATATGTCCTTATATACTAATNTAATAGGTTTTAACAAGTTTTAAATACATAAACTTCATTATTATATAAGGACGTATACAAATTTAATATTATTTGTAAATGGACATATAAAGGCAAGCAGTGAAATGGTTGACGGATCGATACACCTGAAGATGGCAGCATACTGCTGAAACATGTAGTGTAGAAGTGGTAGATGGGCTTGTATGCACTTGAAGACTGTTAATATATACACATTATGAATATGAATCCATGCAACAGGGCGCTAAAATACAACATGTAAATTTATAGAAAATCATAATCAACAGCCATCTAAAACTTGACAAAGTGCTTAATTTTTAAGTAAAACAATACAAGTTAAAAATGACACTGTTTTTCCTCATTCACTGTCATATCTTAGTTTAAAAGATAAATGTTGTTCTGGGCTTATTTCTGAAATACGTAATACATAATCTTATAATTTAAACAGCCTTTTTTGTGTTTTATGGTTCTGGCACATAAAAATAGTTTTTATTCTGTCCCAAAGTTCTTCCTTATTTAAAAGATAAAAATTCTTCTGAAAATATTTTTGAGCATCCTATGTTAATTCATTTACATAAAATGCCATGCTCTGCTACATGAAGTTGTCCCTGTGCTTAACTAATTAAGCACTATGCCCTGAAGGGGTATGGGGGAGTGGATGTATAGATCTGCATTTTCTTGTCCTTGGCACTAGTTGGTCAGTGGTCAGCTACACACCCTTACCACTTTACCCTCAGGGAAAGAGCCCCCAGTACTGACTGGATAGGATGTTGAGTGGGCCCTAGAGCCAATCTGGATGATGTGGAGTAGAGAAAATACTTGACCCTATTGGGACTTGAAACTCGATTCCTCAGTTGTTCAGCCTGTAGCCAGTTGCTATACTGACTGCGCTATCCTGGCTCATTACCCTGTTGCATAGGAGTTCATTAATTACAGTTACGGAACTGAAATTTAAACACAGATATTACATAAGACATAAGACAGTTTTACTGTCCACAGAAATATGACCACACGAGCTGCCAGATATCATATTACAGTACATTTGCATATGAATGTGTACCATGTTCTAACAGAACAATATTGCAATCCTGGGAAGAACAACAAGAGTTTGTTTAAAAACAACGCACCAAATTAAGTAATAATTAAAAAGTGTACATGATTAATTTTCCTTTTTATTGACAGTCATTCATCCTGTAAACAGAGGACAGAGTATAACAGCTTCCAATAATGTGCAGCTGCAAGAACTGTAATAAGGAGCATTACCCACCCTACAGGCAGGACTCAGTACCACAGTGATGTAACTTAGGCAAAAAAGGACATACACAACAGCCATAACATTGTAACAAGTTAATATGACAATCTAGTCATAGACTCAAAGTTACAAAAGATTCAGATGAAACCTCTTACTCTCCCATGCAAGTTAGATCGCCATAATATGAGTGATGTGTAAACCCGAAACTTCATCTGGCATTGAGATTTTAGTTGTATTCCTCAGTCCTTATATAAAATGCCAGGACAGTAACTTAACCCTTCAGAAATCTAATTTCTTCTAAATAATGTAAGAAAATCAGTGCATACCTCACAAGGAACACATTACATCTCCATTACAATAGTCAACTGGTTAATGCTGTATAGGGAAACATTCACCGTTTACTGCAAGAAACACACAAACACAGTCGGTGGGGAGAATGCAGAGTGCTGGTACGTTTAAGCATCTGCTACACCAGTAACAATCAGGCTTCAAAGGGTTAAAACAGGACAAGCCAGCTGATACAGCATCAGAAATGAATAACAACACAAAATTAAACTTACTGCATAGTATATGTTAGTAACAAATAGGTGAAATTTCCATACAACAATTTCAGAAAATACATACATGTTGATGGAAATAATATATTATTACATTATGCCTCAGAAGCAGAAGTCCTACAGCCATACTGTTTCCTTGACGTGCTGAATTCCTTACTTTTGTGAGTGACTTCATGACGCTCTGGTCGTTCAAACACAGGACCTAAAGACAAGCATGTGTCCTTTGCCACTTTCATTTCTGACTCACTGTTTTGAAGATGGACAAATGTAGAATGATGTCCACAGAACTGCTCTGTGATTTGAATCTATTCTACTTAAACAGAATTTTCAACTGTTTCTAGGAACTACTAATTGCCTTCAGAAATATACACAGCTTCACATCATAATTTCATCTGAAAGTGGCTTAAAAATATGTGATAAAATACCTATGTAAAATAATGAGATAAAACCCTTGCAAAGTTACAAGTGTTATCAGAAGTGAATCATGCCAGAGCCCCAGTACGTCTACAACTCTTCTGAAATATACGCTTCCTTCACAACATAAATTTAATAAAGGTCTCTGCTCTGGTCTTCCTCCTCACATGTTACTAAATTGTCTTCACAAACTGATATGACGACGGAAACTTACAAATAGAGTGACCATATGTTTCTTTTAGCATTTGTTATTTGAAAAACAGCAAATAAAGTTTCTCAAACAAAATAAAATCCCTTCTTTGATAAACATCTTAGTGACCTGTTTAGCTTTGTGGCGTCCGCCTAATATTAAGTGCATGGCATCTTTTATTATAATGACATGAAAAAGCAGAGTTTGGGAGGGTATAAAAGTGCAAGAAGAAAAGGCAGCTAAGATTTATAAGTAGGTCATTCAAATAGTATACAATACCTTCTTAGGTGATCAGCCACTTGAAGATGGAGTTACAATAGAATGCAATATTTTTAACAATGTCTCTGTCTCCATCATTAGGGATTGATGTGATGAGTGTTATAGCCAAATGGTTATTTTTATCTAAAGAGTATGCCATTGGAGAAGCACAGTGTCCTGTCCCAGTGCAGACCACTGGCAAAATAGTGGGTGCAGTCAGGCAGTCAGAGGTTTCCTGTCTCCTGCTGGGAGAACTGGATTCATTAAGGCATGCAGTCATTGCAGCCCACGATGCTTACCATAGACACTACAAGATACTAGCAGTCACTGGCTGACAGGATGGGACACTGGCCTTTGAGAGCACACACGCAGCTACATCTCTCATCCCATCAACCCCTGATGATGAAGACAAAGACAGTCTCAAAAATGCTTAACAGTAACTTCGTCTTCACATGGCTGATTTGAGAAGACTTAATTGCATAGTCACCACAAGAGCTTCAAAGTGTTTAAATAGTTACAGGACCACATAATACAGAATAGCTGCAAAATTTATAACAAAATAAATCCAGAGGGCACACATAAACAGGGCAGTATGGCTGGTAGTCTACTGTAAATACAGCTGTGGATCAGAATTATTGGCTGCATAAACAGCTCCCTATACAGTATGTTACATTACCCGAATTCAACTTCCTGGACATAAGACAGAATCATCTATATCAGTGATAATCTTTGCAGGGTCCTTCAAACCCAAATCATACTGCCCATCTCGTGAGACTTTTTCAGGTCCTTGTAGACCATGCTGTTTGATGAAGTTCTTTACAATACTAGGCTGAACAGATGACATGGTTAATCGACATCCCCAAGTCACCAGTGCCAAAGGCTGTAAATAAGGGTAAAACAATGTCAGCTCTAAACAGGTTTAAGTGGAACTGTTCATGATTTTCACAAACACTTTCATCCCAACTAGCAAATACAGAATGTTACCTCGAATGTTAAGATTATGGTTCTCTGGGATGTGATGGCATGTAGCATGGCAGATGGGTACCGATACTGTAGAGAACCTGTCATCTCCAACTTCCATACAAAATGAGGGAAAGCAGCAAAAATGGCAGGATTTGGACTAGGGATATGAGTGACTATGGGGAACTAGTCACCACAAAATGCTTCCCACATTTTGGATGTACCTTACCCTTTCTTCGTCCAGCAGTGCCAGTGGAGTGATGATATGTCTGCGGAGACAATTCGTAACCAAATGTCTCAGACGATTCACTTCCAGTTGGTTGGCACAAGGATGATACAACATCACAACAGCGCCATGCTGCAACCAAAATGAAACAGCAGCAACGTTTCATTATCTTTAGTTGAAATGTAAACTGAAAAGAAGTAAACAGGAAAAGTTACTACCATGGGAGTATGGTTTTCTGCGATGTGATGTCATGAAGTTTCAGAGTAACTTGCTGCTTCCACCTCTCAGCATCCTGTGCCTGACGACCATAATACTCATTGATGTGAGAACCTCATATCTCGCATCAATCCAAGAAGCCCATAAAAATGTACACAAACTCAATAACACAGAGTCCTTGCAGTAAGACTCTCTTTCACATTCCCTCTACATGCACCAAAAATGAACTGCTAGAGGAGCATGAAACTTCTATATGAACCTGTTATATCAAGGCTGTTCAAGAAGGTTCCATAGCTAAACTAAATGAAATAAGGAGTCATTACAATGTTAAATGTAGCTCACTTAACACTACTTAAGTAAAATTATTTTTGAACATAATCTCCAAGCACACTGATGCATTTGTCCCATCTTGGCACAAGTTATAAAATTTAGTTTCAGTAGGAATCAGGTTCTTGCATTCATAACCATTTACCAATGATCATTTCCACTTCTTCAGTACTGTAGAACTGAAGACCTCCCAGGTGCTGCTTTAGAGGCCCAAACCAACAGAAGCCCAGCAGGTTAAGGCTGGGACTACAGGGTGGATGGCAATAAGATCTAAAAGTTTGTGATGATGGTATATTAATAAAATTACTGACCTTTGGACATTATCCATCATTCTGTTTTCTTTCATTTAAAACAACGTTTCAGAGACTAGAATCTGCCTCTGTTGTCAGGCAGAGGACCTACTCAGTCGAGCCCAATCGCTAGAGGTAGGCCCTTTCTCCAGACTAGTTCTATTGATTGGGCCCAACTGAGTAGGTCCTCTGCCTGATGACAGAGAAAGATTCTGATCTCCAAAATGTTGTTTTAAATAATAACAATAATAATAATAATAATAAACAGGATGATGCATAATGTCCAAAAGTCAATAACTGTGTGGATGGTAATGATTGATAGACACAAACATTACAAGCTAGGAAACATTACTTAATGAACACCCCTCATATATGTATAACAGCTTATTTATTTATGCAATATGAACTGTCATATACAATTACTTGCCTCCAAGTTGTGGACCCACCGCTGTCGGGGTACAAATTTGTATTCACCATATCGTGGCCAAAGTGGTCGGTGGGTGCCACTGAAAGTAATTATACACATCAATATTACTGTATCTTAAATGCAAGAAAGTATGAGAGTTCATGGCCAGTCATGGTAGCCGAGCGGTCTAAGGCATGCACTGTCTTCGCTCGCTTGGAAGCCGGGATCGTGGGTTCGAATCCCACTCAGGGCATGGATGTTTAGTTTGTGTGTGTGTGTGTGTGCGCTTTTCTGTGTTTGTGTACAGGTAGAGGCCTTGCGATGAGCTGATCACCCACCCAAGGAGTCCTACCATATGTGTAATATCTAGAAAAACCGAAGTGAATGGAGAAGTTCATGGAGGTAGACCTAGGCTCACTGGGGCTGTAGTGCCAAGGAAAATAAAAAAAAAAAGAGAGTTCATGAGAAGCAAATTCATCAATTCTACAAGATCAAAGACACTGAGCAATTCAATGGATCAGGGAATATTTTTTCTTCCTTAAATCATATATCATCAGGGAGAAAGAGGAAGACCAAGAAGCAGATGGATAAAAGGAATCTATGATGCACCCTGATAATGCTTATGTACTCCCTTTCACAGGCAACTTCAAACTGTTCATGTTACCATGTATTATAACACTGAAAAAATAAAACGTCTTTTTTCATTTTAAACAAACATTACAAATAGGACAGCTGTCAAGATATATTTAAGGCCCTTTTGATTGTGTTTGGCAATGTACAAAACATATCTCAAATATCTCTTTATGAAGCTTTACACACCCAAAGGTGGGTTAATGTACCCATTCCTCAGAACTGCCGTGCTACAAGATATCCTCGTAACATGTATATCTAAGTAAATTGAATCAATACAAATAAAAATGATGCCCAGTTATCCTGACAGATAATTTTATGTGGAAAAGAAATGTAATGTAATGAAGAAATGCAGATATAATAAATTAATTCTGAAAGGAATAAAACCTTGACCTTTTGTCGAAGAATTCATGTAAAAAAAATGTATCAATGAATACCATTTAGAAAGTACTTACTATGTAGGTACAGCTGATTGATAATGTATTGACTTGTTCATACACTCATGACGAGCCTGGAAAGGAAATGGCACATAAAATCAACTGCTCATCACTGTCAATAACACAGTGTTTATTTCATATTTATACAGGGAGATCGAAAAGTTGTGCACATCACACTAAAAGTTGTTATAAACTGTACTGCATTTAATATAATTATATCTCCTACTGCTAGATGGTACTGTAGGAGTACTAACAACAAGTAGAAACGCCATATGTCGTGTATCGGTCATACGATGTCTGCAGTATAGCTTTGTTTATTGTGTGACACACGTTGTTTTCCCAAGAACAATGAGTTTTCATGGTAGAACATTATTTTGCAAGTCATTCTTATGCACGTGTCGCAGATGAGTTTTGTTGGGAATATCTGGATTCTGCAGTTCCTAACAATTCAATGATAACGAGAATAATCAACCGATTTCGGGGATGTGGATCAGTTTCAGATAGGAAGAGATCTGGGAGACCGGCCAGTTTGACTGAGGCTAAACTGGCTGACGTGCAGAAAATGTTGCAGTGTTCCCCTTCAAAAAGCCTGAGGAGACTATCAGCACAATCAGGGATTTCATACAGAAGTGCTCAGAAAGCGATGAAGAAGTTACACCTTCGTACATATCATGTTCGCTGTGTGCAGGAACTGAAGGACCTGGATAAAGGAAAACTCCTATTGTACTGTAGATAGTTTTGGACATTTGTTGGCAACCACGGAATTGAAGAGTTTGATTGGGTTTTCTTCACTGATGAAGTGTGGTTTCAACTTAGTAGAAACGTGAACAGTCAAAACAATAGGATTTGGTCATCTGAAAATCCACATGTGTTACATGAAAAGCCCTTGCACTATCAGAAAATTGGAGTGTGGTGTGCTGCATCACGTAATTGAATAGTGGGCCCAATTTTCTTTGAAACGACAGTGAACAGTCTAGTGTACCAAGACATCATTACACAGTTTATTGCACTTCTTGGAGTTGATGAACGTGAGTGTTGGTTGCAACAAGACAGTGCCACATGTCACACATCTAATGAAACCATGCAGTTCTTATGTGAGTTTTTCAGTGACCGTCTCATTTCGAAAGGATTGTGGCCCCTGCGTTCACCCGATTTCTCACTTGCAGATTTTTTTCCTTTGGGGGAACATCAAAACAATCCGCATACACTGAATGACCTCAAGAGGAACATTATGACGGCGATTAACAGCATCAGTTTAAAAGGGCTCCACAAAGTGGCCTCGAACATGGTAAAAAGAGTTCGTGCATGCATGGCTGAACAGGGAAGCTATTTCGAGCATATGTTGTAAAGATATGAATTGATTTTGCATTTCTAAGATGTAAGGTTATAAACATTAATAGTAAGTGCTGTATGTCTTGTAGTTTGTGCATTAAACCAGCAAAATATAATTGCTTAGTGTGATGTGTGCGACTTCTCGATTTCCCTGTACAAAAGCAAAGTTGTCCCTGTTCTTAATTAATTACCAGGTGTTTTTACTATGGTACTAGATGGAATATGGAAATGGCATGTCAGTTTTATGACCCAGTCATGTTACCAAAGTGTCTATCTGATTGGAGGCTGGGTGGGCCCATAACCAGTATGGATGTGGTTAAGGAGAGAAAAAATCTCTTGCTTCTGCCAGGAATAAAACTCCGGTTCCTTGGCTATCCAGCTCACAGCCCATGCCTATACCAAATAAGCTATTCCAGCTCCTGCCATTATCCTATTGCTTCTCTTATGGAGGGAATTATATGAAAACAAGATGGCTCTGAGTTAAACACAAGTATATAACAGCAAATTAGGAATTTTTTTAAACTGTTTCTCCAAGAGGTATCACATTTTGTCTTTACCTTCCCCCCCCCTTCTTTCTTTCTTTCTTTCTATAATACGCTGTTTGGGGGAAATGAACTGGGTCATACAAATGGCCATTTGGTTAGATGGTGAAGTCCATGCATGTCATGTGCTAAAATCACTTACTGAGTAGTACTTCGGAATATTTTCACATTCCAAAATTGGCTTAATTCTTGCATTTGGAAGATATCTTCTGTTATAACTGTAGCAAGTGTAATCACCTGGGGAATAGTCCCAGTCGAGTGTGAGATTTGTCTGGAAAACAGGCACAAAAATACAAATATATGTGTTTATCTTAAAAACTTCTTGGATCATCAGCTGCATTGAAGATGAGCTGAAAACCAATATTATGGAGATCTGCTGTGTCTCCATCATGAGGGTTGCTGTGGGGGAATTACCAAAAGTCGCTGAGGTGCGTGCGCATGTCAATCAGTAAATTTGATATTTATAGAACACAAATTAATGATCCATCAATCTCTCTGTCAACCCTCATGATGGAGATAGATCAGGTCTCTGGAATACTGGTTTCCAACTCACCACTGATATACCTGATTGACAAAGCAGACTTCAGTGCATTCATCGAGATGAAAGCTTGAACTATTATGTATATTTCTGCCTTACCTCATTTAATCTTGAGATAAACAAATACAACGATGTTGGAATTTCATCTACAAGTTTTGGCAATACCAATAATCAACCAACATCTAAAATCTACTTCCTACACTTCAGTGTTGATAAACTACAGTAAACTTCATCAGAACCAATAAAAATCATTCACATGTTGGAAGAGATAACAATAAAATTTCCTGGTACTCGTATATCCCATCCAATCAAGGAGTGCCAGTGGCTTTTTTCTGAAACACTTCCCTGTTGGCTGATGACATAATCTGAGAAGGCCAAACAGACTGTACATGCCACATGTTCTTACTGTCCCTTCATCCTCTTGCAGCCTACATACCAATATCAGCACTCCCTGGTCAGACGGGATGTAACAGCGCTGTTCTTGTGCATCTCTAAATCAAGTAAGCTTGGGCAGTTTCAGAGCAAATGCTCTGTAAGAGTATTCATTCAAATCTGCACACTGAGAATCTACAGGGGTTGGTCTAAATAATGGAAACACTACAGATACTGTACACATTTCTTTAGTAATACTGTATTGGACCATCTTTTGTCTTCAATACAGTAGCAATCCTTCTTGCAATGGACAGTCTGTAGCAGAATTTTATACCATCCTTTTTGAACCTTTCAAATTGCTCTGGAGATGTTGGAGGTCGGAATCTATACCTCAGTCTAGCCTCCAAAACCAATCAGAGTGGTTCAGTGATATTCAAATCTGGTGATATTGTTGGCCAGGGAAGGTGCTGAAGTTCACCTTCATGATCTTCAAACCATGACTGCACAGTTCCAGCTGTGCGAATTGGGCCACTGTTATCTTGGAACAATGCATCGTTGTTAGGAAATAAAGTCTGGATCATAGGATGTACCCTATTACCCAACCTGACACAAGCATTACAGAGTGTAAACAAATAGAAGAAAAGCATTCAGTGTTGCCAATTAAAGTCCTTTCAATGCAGCCAACTGAAATAAATTCTATTCCTCAGTATCTTAGTGATTCTGTTATTTTGTATAGCACCTGTATATACTTTAAAAACAACATCCAGTAATCCAGCAAACTGTGGGTCTGAAACATATCTCTGGGTGTATCTGTATCATCCTACAGTGACATAGACTGACAGGTAATGATGAAAAAGTTACTACATTCTGAAGAGTACCGTCTTCTGGGATGTGATGCTGTGCAGTCTGGTAGGAAGCCACTGATAATTTGTATGAACATACTGTCTCCATCTTCAGGGTTGAAGAATAAGCCAAGTAAGGAACCAGCAATAAGCAGGCAGCAAGTATAGCTTTGCTTGCCACCAGTTTCTTGCTGGTTCCTTACTTGGCTTATTCTTCATGCCTGAAGATGGAGGTAAGATGTTACTCAAAAAAACATCAGTGGAACTCTCCTGGGTCACATGGCATCACATTCCAAAATATAGTACGAGGGCATATCAGTTATCACTGTGAGAACCACATATTCAAACCAGAAGATTCTATTTTCGATATACGGGTATAAAGGAAGACAATATTGCCATTCTGGACACATCATTGAACACTCACTGTTATTCTCCTGTAAGGTTGCTCACTCAAGGCATACTGTACTTTCACAGATGTTTCACACAACAGTTACATTTATGCATACCTTAGCATCGTCACATTCGGTAGTCACCACACCCATTCGAACTGCATGTTCACGATCGTGAATATCTACATGTTTCGTGTATGGTGGATGTGGCATCCAGCGGCCAGTCCACGAACTCTCAGGAGCTTCTGTTGCCAGTTGCTGGTACTGCCCAGTTGTTACTGCTGCCAGGAAGGCAAGACTGACACATACACATAGGGCATTCCAATGCACAGTGCTATGATACATATCCCACTTTACCTGTGGACATTCAATTGTAACTACACTCAGAAAGCTTACCCTCTAGGCTACATTTTCAAATTTTCCAGGTACTGGAAGATATCAAAAAGAGAGGAAAGCGCTGGCAAGACACTGAAATGAAAAAAAAAGTCATCATCGTTACCACTGCCGCTGCTAAACAACCCTTCATAAGCCATAGCATTCCTTAAGAGTACTCAGGCTTGGGCATTCTGTCATGAATCAGATCACTTGTTTTTACTTATTTGCATTTCACAACAATATTTTTTTTAAACAGCAAGGTCATCAGCCTTGCGTCCAAGCCCAAAACCTGGAGGACCAGGTCTGTAGTTATGTCCCCCAGTGAAAGGGTTGCCTTGTTATACCTCCAGGTACTGGGTTCCCTTCTTGTCATCTTCTATGACTTGCAGGGCTACAGTGGATGTATTCTAACCTGCTTCCACAGGGAATAAAGAGGAAAGTCTGTGGGATGAAAGAAGATATAGAACTTTTATGTACTGAACCATATAATTTAGTCTTATAATCAGTAATAACAAAAGATCAAATGAACCAAAATTAAATAAATATTTCAACAAAAAGTTCAATAAGAGAAAACTCATAAAAATTAGGAAAAAAATGCTGAAGGAAGCAGAAGTAGAAGAAAAGTGAGTAAGAGGAGAAGATTTTCAGTTGGAGATGCAATGACAGTTGCCATACAACAAACAACAGAACGAAGAAGTGCAAAATATGGGGCAAATTTTCAGTGCTTGCACACCAAAAGCACACAAAGGTAAAAGAGGTAATGTCATCCATGTGCTTACTTAAGCACCACATCTTGACGACGATATATTGGGAAGTGGAGGTACAGCTCTGCACCTTGTTAACCTGGGCACTAGACAGGAGTGAATGGTCAGCATTATGCCCTGGCCATTCTACTTGCTGGGGAAAGGAGGCTGGGTTGGCCTTATGGCCAGTGTGCACATAGTACGAGTAGAAGAGAAAAATCTCATGTCTCTCCCATAAATTGAACCCTGATTCATCAGTCATTCAGTCTGCACCACGGTCACTATGTCAACTAAGCTAAAAAGTATATGAGGAGCAGGGAAATCACACATGCTTTCCATATTCCTACAATATCTGTATTATCTGGCCGGTCCAGTACACTGCAAAGAATAAAATGAGAAATACAGTGTCCAAAATGAACATGTCCAGATCTACTGAAACAACAAAATACTTTAGTTACATCACATGCCAAATACTGGTTCAATATCAGTTAAATAAACATATAAGGTATAAATTAATATATAAGGCAAGAAATTTGGCTGCCAGCAGTGTAAAGTCGCCCAATGGAGTCACTGTGTGGCGGGATACTTTGGAGTGCTGGCAGGATTGGCAAGCACATGACCAGGTGCAGCAATCCTTCTGCAGGCCTGACCACATGAAACGCTGTGCGACCAGTTTTACTGTTGCTTTGGTCCCTGGGTGTGACAGATCATGGATGGACTGGAACACTTCAAACTGTAGAGGAGCCGGGATGTACAGCCGAGTTTTCCTGGTAGAGGTATCGCAGTAGATGGACACCATGGTACCGGGGATTGGTAGCTTCTCTAGCCGCAAAGCGGTGTTCGACTGCCGAAGTGATTGGAGCTCATCATTGCTGTCCTGCGATGCGGCCAATGCATCGTAGGATGGTGACACAGTGACGGACTCGACGCAGGAGAGAGCATCAGCAACAACGTTGTCCTGCCCAGAGATGTGTCGGATGTCGGTCGTGAATTGTGCTATGAAGTCCAGGTGGTTGAATTGCCTTCGTGAGCATTTGTCCCTTTTCTGCTGGAAGGCGTAGGTGATAGGTTTGTGGTCTGTGAAGATGTTGAAGTGGCATGCTTCCAACATGTGGCGGAAGTGCTTTACGGCCTCATAGATGGCCAGCAGCTCGTGGTCATATGCACTGTATTTTTGCTGGACCGGGTTGAGTTTCCTTGAGAAGAATGCCGGGGGCTGCCAGGCGTTCTTGACGCGTTGCTGCAGCACGGCACCCATGGCGAACATAGAGGCATCTGTGATGAGTGCAAGTGGCATGGATGGATTGGGGTGAGCCAATAGTGTGGCGCGTAACAAACTCACCTTGCACTCTTCGAAGGCCCTGTGGAGCTCCGGAGTCCAAGTGATGGGGTGGGAGCCCTTGACTTTGGGTCCGGAGAGGATGTCTTGAAGTGGTGCCTGGTGTGCTGCCGCATGGGGCATAAATCGCCTGTAGTACACAGTGTAAACAACACAGCAGGCCACGCATAAACGCAGATATACTAAGAAATCTCCTTTCACAAGATAAACAGGTGGCACAGGACCAGCCACCTCCATGAATAACAGTAGGAGATTTTACAGGAACCTGTATGGTTCACAAATTTTAAGCTTAATCTTGAAAGTTTTTAAAACAAACTTTTTTAAAAAGTTTTAACATCAAGAAGGCCACCGTGAATGTGGAAGGTTGAACATTGCATATATTGTGCATTTTAGACATCATATGTGCATCCATACAATTAACATCTATTGTAATAGTAGTTTCCAAAAGTATTGATACCCTCTGAGGATGATCCGTAAGAATCGAAACATATAAGGGAGAAAAATCCTCAGGTGATAAAACTTAAATAGTCACATTAGATGGTATTACTTTTGCCTTTGTAATTGTTACTGACAGACCAGAATGAAACAAATAAAAAAAAAAAAGTGATCTCAGGTACTTGGAAGACACACTTCGCTGGGTTGATGAGGATCCCATACTTCTGCAGTCGGTCAAAGAGAGCTGTAGGTGTTGTTTGTGTTCCTCAAAAGACCGGGAGAAGATGAGGATATCATCCAGATAAGCGAAACAGAAGTCGAGTCCCACAGAATGTCGTCCATCAAGTGTTGGAAGGTCTGTGCGGCGCTGCACAGGCCGAAGGACATGAAAAGGAACTTGAATAGGCTGAATCGAGTGGTGATGGCCGTCTTCTGTATATTGTCTGGATGGATGGGAATTTGATTGTAGGCTCTCACCAGGTCGATCTTGGAGAAGACAGAACAACCAAAAAGTTGGTGGGAGTAGTCAAGGATATGAAGGACAGGGTAGCGGTCAGGGATGGTTCGGGCGTTTAAAGCTCTGCAGTTGCCACAAGGGCACCAACCGTTGTCCTTCTTGGGTACAATGTGTAGCGCAGAAGACCAGGAACTCTCTGAGCAGTGACCGTGCCGTCCCATAACATGGCATCGAACTCAGCTTTGGCGATAGCAAGACTGAATGCGTTGCACCGCGCCCTTCGTCTTCCTCTCCACTGATTACTACTATATTATTATTATTATTACGAAGAGGAAGGGCACAGCGCAATCGTTACTGGCCCTATTGTTGGTTCCCACGCTCCCCTAGATGGAGATGGGGTATCCAAGCTAGAAGGAGGAAGCTAGACTCAGTTCGTTGGCTTAGATAAAAACAAATACAATTTTAATAAAAAAATATATAACAATACATAAATAACAAACGACACATTTGACCAAGAAACTAATACAAGCNGGAATTTAAAACAGACCCAGCCGAAACCAATATTTTCCACAACAAACCTGCTGGCTAGTAACCGACCTTCCAAGTCAACTTGGTCTACACAACTGCACTGTACAATTCTCCCCTTCACGAGAGGGTACATGGGACCACGTGACTGACGTCAGGATACTGCATAGTGGGAATGGAATCCGTCAAGGGAAACATGATGACATCATACGTGAGCGAGCTAAAGCTTAGAACGGCTCAGTGTGAGAAAAATATCCAAGTTTCCAGTTTCATCAGATAATACAGTTTATTGCTACAGACAGAAAGTTGAGGTGGACATATTCACGGAACTCTTTTTCTCTGGTATCCGCATATTTACGTATGCTACACACCTGGGGACGAGACACGCATGTCCCTACACGTTATTACAGAAAGACCCTCTTTCATAGGGCAGTGGGAGACCGCGAGCAAATGTATGGAGTAGCAGCCATTTTACTTCATCTGTGAAGTGTTTCCTGCAAGGTGACTGTCTCTATCAGGGCCGTGCAAACTCTTACACAGACTGCGTCAGGAGCAAAAGTGAATACAGAAAATGCTACACCCAGTGAAATGGTCAAAATCTGCCCAGAGACAGATATTGTGAAAGCGTGCTGATTGGTGATAGCCCAGTGGCCAGAACTGGGAGAACCTTCATCGTTAAAATCCATTACCAGCATTCAAACTGGCATTTCAACCTATCGCAAGAGAAGACTGTGTATGTAATAATGTGAACGGACCACAGAAATGTCTGCTAACTACACATCTTTCTGGTTTGGATATGCAGCGTGGGACGGAGAACATTCATGCTTGCTTTCCAGCCTAAATGGAAGATGGCAGTGGCTCTCCTCATGACGAACTCCGAGAGAGCACAAAACAGTCCCGAGACTCGACAAGCAGTGGCTGCTTTGGTTGGGTCCGAACATGGTTATGCGACAAAAACGATTTGGAAACTGACGATGACTTTTATGAGACGAAATACCCAGACGACATGGGAGAGGGCATGAAACACTCCCAAGACTGGTCCACCAGCAGCTGCTTCGAGTGGATCAGAAGATGGGTACATGAGAAGGTGCCTTGAAACAATGGAAGAGAGACTGACAGCCCAGTGACTGGGGTTGACGACAGCCCAGCCACCACCGGAGGCGACAGCTCTGAGACCGGTGACAGCGAGTCAGTCCGGTGCCAGTCACCGGGGTCTGCAGGTGACTGGCAGGCCAAGTATAGTCCGGATGTGATGCACAGTGTTGTGACACACTTCGCGCTGGGTTCCGGCTGGGCGGGTGAGGTCCGGGAATTTGGCGAGGAGGCTGTTGACTGGTGTGCCGCTACTGATGATCTTGACGCTGGGAATCAGTGAGTTGGCTGGATGTGCCGGGAAAGACAACGACATGAGTCCTCTATTTCCATTGCATAACACTGGTCCAACTGCGAGATCACGTAGCAGAACTTGGTCTGCTCGCTACTGATACCGGCCAAAGTGAACTTTGCTTCGGCTTGATCGAATCAAACTGGTCTTTCAACCCAAAACGGCAGAAGCTGCACAGCAATTCTTGGTGTCTCTGATGGTAGTGGTCTGTTAGTAATACCGGCATTGTGTTGTTCTTCTTCAATTTGGGCTTCCTGTCCTCGTCTGTTATGTAGTTTGCCTTGTAAATTCTCCATCTCTGTTACATACAGTTGCAGGAGGTCTTCTATTCAAATGCTGTCCATTATTTGTGTTGTATTGTCGGGGTCACCAATGTGGGATGTCATTATATGAAGAGACAACCACTTGTTGAACTGTTCTATAATATTTATTACAGTTGCAATGTATACACAGACAAACTTGAGTTTGAAGAGTTGAAGAATAATAACAATAGTGGACTCCTTGAACACTGAACTAGAATTATAGAACTGTAGAAATCTAGAACTTAAACTTCCAAGTCCAAATCACATTGCGACTGACGGTCAGTCAGTAAGTCTTGGTGTCGAGCCCCATTTGGGGCTCATGACCAGATATTTGTTACCTTTAACAGTTACGGTCTTGCTTTTGTGGGGCGCCCTCTCTGACGAGACGATGGGTCTGCCTTTTGTATGTGCTGCTGGCCTTTGCCAGTGCAGTCTTTCTAGGGTCCGAGTCCCTTGGGACTCGAGACCATATTTTACTGTCTCGGATTTGAGACTTCCCTTTTCGTCGCCTCTTACAACTCGCAGGGTCACAGCGGAGGTATTCGACCCCTCTTCCACATGGGATGTAAACTTCCACGCAATGTATCTTTTTATATAACCTAGTCGGACATATAGAAAACATGTCACTGTCCGTATTGTTGTAGGCTTTGCCTAGCAACAACTCTTTACTCACTGTTGCTAAGCAGTGATACTTGCATTGATACTTGATATTTGCTTGAATGTGGGCAGTTCCCACAAGTTCTCATCACCAGACACAACTTCAGTTAACTCTTTTCATCTCCCATCTATACAATTTAGCTCCATAAAATTTATATTAATGTTCTCCTTCCAGTCCCATCTTGGTCATTCTAGTGGACGTTTCTCAAAAAAAATTCCCCACCAAAATTCCAAATGTATTCCTTGACAAAAAATACTGTTCCACTACACTAATGAAAGATATGATATTGATTCCATTGAAAAAATCTGAAAGTGATCTCTGCTTAGGAAGCCAGAGCGCCCAACATTTACTCCATCATAATGTCAAAATCAACTCTGTGGTTTTCTGTCAGGGTGGGGCAGGAAAAAAAAAAAGTCAGTTTACTTACATGCAGTATTTGGGTAAGGGCCACACTTGATGTCTTCCTTGCTCACTTGTAAGACACACAGAGAACACAACTAAACAAGTAACCTTGGAAAACATGTTTTACAGATCTTTTTCCTTTTGATTTTTGTTAAATGCAAAAGTAATTTCTGCTTCTGTTTGTTCATACCATGATTATTAACCAGCAGTAATATAGAATATGATGTAACAATGTAAGTAATCTGTTTTAAGTATAATTTTGATCATTCTTTGTAAATTTTGTGTTACTAATTGTGAAGAACTTCTGATAAAGTTGTTTTGATTTTATTATGTGGAGGGTATTCCCATGGTTAAGGCAGGGGTCAGCTTTCTTCAAAATTCATAGATACATCAGTGGGTGCAGTGGGTCAGAACTGTTTGCATTAAAAGAGTGGGGTTTTGTGTAACATCTAAGGACCCCAATATCCATTTCAAATTAGTTGATCCTCCCTTATTTTACTATTTTTGGATTTGGCCAGAATGGGGGTTTCTTTATGAGTGGAATATGATAAAATATTAGGCCGATATGAATTTACTGTTTTACACAAATTAAATGAAAGGCAGGTGGTACAGCCTCTTGACTATATTAAATTGAACATTTTTACTCTTTCACACTATCAAGAATCTTACATCACTAGTTTCTGTAATTTATCCGAATTTCCAGCATGTTCAGAGTGGGCATCACGCCCTGCCAGGTTTACAAAACTTCCTCTTACAGGTTTCGCAGTTATTTTCATAAACTTCAACTAAACCTGACATACACGTTTATTTATATTCTCTGATACTCAACATATGGTCGTATCAACTGTTAACGACAACATACACACAAAATTAAATATAATGCCTCCTATAATTAAATTTGTGTACCAATTTCTTCTCTTTTAAATGTCATGTATCCTTACTAATACTGCTGAACCAATTTACCGCACCTTTATCTGACGTTTAAACACCAACAACATACAATGCATGAACCTACATGAACTACATGAACGTCTTTACCGTCTTTACGGTCTTTAGTTGACATTTCAACTCCAACATACGCTCCTTGCTTATCGGCAACTTTAACTCTATGCTGCTGAATGGACGAGCGGACTGCCATCTACTTATCCACTATACTTACATCTCCCATCCCGGCGTCCGTAGCTCATATTTGGCACAACATCCCGCATCGATACCTCAGTCGGTTAAAAGTTACTACGTAATTCGTATCAAAATCCGGACAGTAACAGAACCAAATAAATGGACATCTGATTGAATTGAAAAATGTCTCTAGTTCCGAAATTGCTGAATGAAAAACAATTGTTTTCTGTTCACATAATTTTGTTCTGCACTTTGCTTCCTGAAATTTTCTGTTTTTGTTGCAGTCTTTGCACTTTGTGTATCTTATTTCACAAAGCAACTGTGATAAATTATGTATCTACTGACAGACAATGAAGTTTGAGTGCAAGCCAAGGTCACTTTATGACTGATGTCAGTCAATCAGTTTGCTGGACCTGATGTCAAGCACCTTTCGGAGCTCTTGAGATTTCATTCTTTCACATCCTTATTACTACAGTCTTGGTCATCATTAAGCACCCTCTGTCATGACAGGATGAATTTAGTCATTTCCTACATCACAGAGAGCAATCCACTCCGTTACAAAGACCAACCAGTTAATGATGTTTAGGGAAAGAGTTGCTATTTACTGTGCAGGTAAAGCAGATGGTAGATGTATTTTGAAGGGTTAATGATTTCAATAAATTCTCATTTATACTTTATTGTTAACTATATTTATTTATAAAATTTGTATTTCATATGACCCTTATTAATGTAATCAATTTGTGCAATTGTCTGAAATCTATTGTCACCATCTTTTATTTTACTTTACTGAGTGTGATTGATTGCACCTCTTTTAATTTTTTATCGAACTGCTTTTGCTTTTTCTTCCGTGTCTCATGCCAAAGGGGTAGTCATCATAAACTCTTCAATTTCCTTAATTTGTTTACTCTCCTTCTTGTTTGATAGCACCTCCAAAGAGAAAAAAGTTATCAAGAATACTGATGGAATTTCTTCCAAGGCACCTGATTCCCAGAGAAGACAGCCAGAAAATTTGCTTACAAACTTGCGTGTACATTTACGTTTCAAGAATGTTACTGCAGATAATCCTAAATATTCATGATAGAGGAACAATACATTTAAAAAATACTAATTTTTGTCATTAATATTTGATATATTTCCTCCCTTTCTCCTAATTGTCTTTTTCCAAAAAAAAATAACACCAAAAGGGCAAATATTTTTCTTTCACCTCTGCCAGTGCCCATAATGATTGATTACCATGAGTAAAGTATAAGAGAACTATTTCATTCTGTAAACCAAATAAATTAATAAAGTGTGTTAAATAATGCCACATAAAACTAATTATACATTTTGGGAAAGCAGGTAATATCCATGTGTGCCAGTGGGGGCAGAGACCAGGAATCTCTCCACTCCCACACTTTTTAAAAAAATAATCAAACTTAAAAAATGAAGGAAATATGTCAAATATTAGTACAAAAATTATAATTATTTTTAAATTATATTGTCATTCTGAATGCTTTAGAACAATTCATAAAAATATTCTTAAACAGCTGAAATATGCGTTTATAAACAAATGTTCTAGCTTCCCCACCCCCCTCAAAAAAGTAATTAATTAATTAGAAAGAAACAGTAATAATAACAATATTAGGGCCTTGTGTACAGGAATATATAAATTTAAGGTGGCTTGTTATTAACAGATGAAGACATCCCTGTGTTTAATGAAGTAACCACTATGCCAAGAAGACATATGAGAGAGTGGAGGTATAGCTCCACCATTATTGACTTCAGCATTAGACAGAGATGAGCAGTCAGCTTCACGCCCCAGTCACTTTATCCCTGGGGAAATCGCCCCAGTACCCATTGGACTGGAGGCTAGCAGACCCAGGGTAGGTCTCCATGCTATGGAGAAGAGAAAAATCTCAGCCCTACCAGAAATTGAATCTCAGTTGTCCAGCCCATAGCCCATCACTGTACTGACTGAGCTATCTGAACTCCATGGCTTAGTATTGTATATACTTCAAAATGGATGTTAAATTTGAAAGTAGTAAACAAGTGACAAATTCCACAACTTATTATAAAATTTTGTTGAACATTCTACTACAACGTTTAACACCACACACAGGTAAAATTATCAGGTATAATCAAGATTGAGCTCAATATAACAGATCATCTTTTGCTCAGATATCCTACATTTGTCAAATACTAGAGGAGAAATGGGATTACAGTGGAGTCTGGGTTAATGCTATGCAAGTTGACAAAAAATAAACAGAAGCATTAGCCTCTGAAATAATCTACCCAATCAAAATAAAAAAATGTTTACAGATTTATAACCCAATATTAAAATATTAAAAAGACTCCATTATATTAGTTATTTATAGATTCAAAGAGTAGCACACAATAGAACTTCTATGAGTAAATTTCTGCCTGCTACATTTCCTATTCATAATGGTCTGAAACAAGGAGATATTTCAAAAGCAATGCTTTAAATGTATCTCACACCAAGAGAAAAGCAAAAATGGAGGGTAACTGAGGACGTGGTACATGAGATGTGAACAGAAGAGGGGGAGGGGGGGTACCAACAGGATGATGTAGAAAAGTGCATAACAAGAAGCTTCATAATTTGTGTTCTTCACTTAACATCATTGGCATGATCAAACTGAGGGGAATCAGATAAATGGGGTATGTGGTACACATGGAGGTGACACATATAAACAAAATTACAGTAAGAATACTTGAACGGAAGAGACCATTTTTGAGACTTGGTTATAGATGGTAGGATAATATTAAAATGGATCTTAAGGAAGTAAGGTGTGAGATGTGGCCTGGATTCAAGTGGCTTTCGACAGTGTCCAGTTGCAGACTTTTGTGCCCCTTTGGTTTCCATAAAAGGTGGGGAATTCCTTAATTATCTGACCTGCTATCAGTTTCTCATGAAGAACTCTGTTCCATGGAATGAGTGAATTTGTTCAAACAGTTTATTCTTTCCAGGTTCAAATTTTAATTACCAGCACATTTTACTTGCTGTGTACCATTTAAAACTTGTTTGCTGTGGAGAGGGGGATACCAGATAATGTGGGAATAGCATCATAATTGAGCAAAACAGCTTGCATCAATTCGGGATTTTCATTCGCAATGTTCTTAATAGTGTTAAATTTTGTATGAAAGATTTTATTTGATTTAATTTTCTAGGTTGTGTCACTGCATTGTTTCAGATGAGACTTCGGAAGTATGAAGGAATCTATTGTCCTTATCTTCATGATACAAAACAGTCATATATGAACTACAGTCAACTCTCGATTATCCGGGGGCAGATTAACCGGGGCTACTGAGGCTTTTTTGAGGCTTATATGTTGTTTAATATTCATTCACTTTTGTTTCACATGGCGAGTTGTAACACTATTTTCGCACTAGTGTGAAGCGAGCTCTGCATTCTTTGATCCCGTTATGCTAACACAATGTTCTAGGGTAGGGGTGAAAGAATGCAAGGATTTGTGGCAAGTTTCAAAGACAGATACATCACCCCAGTTAGTATCTTTGTATCGATCTTCAAGTGCATTAGCAAAATGTCAGGGTGTAAAAGGAAGCATGCTGTGTTAAGTATTCAACAGAAAAAGGAAAATGCCGCGGAAAAGTAAATGACAATATTAAATTTTTTTAAGTGTTAAGTGTGAATATTCGTAAAAGATGTTGAATGTTGTTGAAGACTGTGATTGAAATAACTAATTCATAATTCAGTGTAATGTAAAAAAGGTATTAAATAGGCCATGAGATGACATAAAAATGAGGTTGAATAAATTTAAATACAGGTAGGCCTATAGTATTATGAAGGTACAGTATTACATTACTACTTTTAATAAAATTTGTCTTAACCGGGTTTTCGATTAATCGTGATTTCCATCCCCACCATTATCCCGGATAATCGAGAGTTGACTGTATATAAATACAGAAGAGAATAATCAGAGCCGAGCTACAATTAGTCCTAAGTAGTCCTAAGATTTAATAGGCCAGAAGTGACAGTAGCCACTGAAGAGGAAATGGAGCAGGAAACCATGGTTCTGACTAAAGTACAGCCGTTATTTGTGGGCAATTCACTTAGAAAAGCCTAAGAACTCATGAATATTGATTTTTGTTCATTGATGGTTGACTTTTCTGGGAGTATCTGTAGTTGGGAGTTGTAGATTTCTCTTATATATTACAAATGTTACAAAATATGGTCCTACAGCCCCCAAAATTAACTGTTATGCTTGGAGTTGAAAAGAAAGTAAGTGTAATACTTGCATATTACTAAATATTTAAGAAAAGTTTAATTAAAGAACAGAACCTGGAAGATAATTTATATTTTCACTTCCAACCTCAAAATGTACATTATAATAACTGTTAAAATGGATCCCTAAATTTAATAACCATTAACTCTCAACACAAGATATCACTATGAAGAGTTAATACTATATGCAAAAAGTATAACATACTAGTACAACATAAATTTTTAGGCTAAGTACATCAATAATTATTGTCTAATATTTCTTTTTTACTATTTTTTAAATTTTATTTCAAAGAAAGAGTTCTTTTTATAGTTATAAGATTATTTACAGCAGATAGAATTTTACATTGTGTAAAGTATTTGTTCAAAGTGCCATCTTGTGATGAGAGGGGGAAATGGATTGCAGCACATTCACTACACGAGGGCAACATATACTGACTAATGGGTCACAACACACGAGTGAGGCCAGTGCACCTACCAACTCACACACAATCTTCCAGCATATTGTTTGCTTTCTTCTCAACACAAACAATGTGATATTATGATTCTCATAGTGCAACAATGTTACACAGCTTGTATATGTTACAGTGTTCCTATATTGCTTTCCTTTACTACAGCATTTTTAGTTGATTTACTCACTTTCAAAAGAGAATAATTTTGAATTTTCAACTGTAAGATTTTATTTTTTCATTATGGCGAAGATTCACATGCTAGTCTTCTGGGTTGTGACATTGTGCTATAGAGTAATAGGTGGGTAGCAACATTTCAGCATTTAGAATGGAGGCAGTATTTTCCTCTGAAACATTAGTACCCATCAGACCCTGAAGACCACTGGAGAATTACCAACTTAAAAGAAAATGAAAGAACTTTGTAGGATAATCAACAGCTACAGTATGAACTAGGGGAAAGGACAGGCTAGGGCTCCTAGTATGGCTTTTAAAATGCAATTCTCTACAGCAGTCCAATCTAATCAATTGTTAGATTCAAAGGGTTAAATTGAAACACAGATGTAAAATCTGAGGATCTTGTAGTGGTGAGGGTTTACATTGTGAACTTCTGGGTTGTGACACCATGTATTATGGCAGGTGAATACCTATGTCTATGAGGAATGTGAAGGTGAACCCTGAAGATGGAGGCACATTCCTCTGAAATGTTAGTATCCATCAACAAGACTACAAGGTGTCAAAACAAAGAAGATCATAAATTCAATCAAAGGTGACATAGAGAAATAATTCTTTGTCATTAAACATGAAAATAAACTGGAGCTTCCATCATATCTTACAGACCATGTTAACCACAGCTGGAGAGGATTATATTTTCTTTTGGAAAATCATCACCTATGTTGAACTCACTGCCATATTTTCAATTAGTGCATGTGTTGGCTAGTGAGCAAAATTACCACAGCAAAGAGATGCAGCTGCTTGAATCTCGACACTTGGAAGTAGTAAAAAGGGGATGTAAATGGTTGTTCAGAACTAGGTAGATTTTTTTTTTTTCATTATTGCTAGTGGGATGGGACTAAGTCCCTTGCACTGTGGCCACTTCTGGCCTATTGTACCAGCCCCAGATGATAGGTGAGGGTGATTGTGGAGCAATTGGTGGAATAAAGATAGGCAGGGGAAACTGAAGTACTCGGAGAAAACCAGCCCCAGAGCCACTTTGTGCACCACAAATCCCACTTGACCAGACCTGGTATCGAACCCAGGCCGAGGCGGTGGGAAGCCAGCAACTAACCGCTTGAGCTATGGTGCAGCCAACTAGGTAGATGCTTCGCAACAGCAGAAAAGTCTGAGGGAACTATTACAATGTAGGCTCGTGATTTTGTTCTTACATTTATTGTTGTTGAGAACAGCTGTGGTATTTCAGGGTGCTGAAAAAAAAACACCTTCATAATGAAGCCCTCTGAAACTAAGTAAATGGTGTCTACCCACATCTACTTCCACTTTCAGGCCTGGTGGAAAAGCCTTGTGAGAAAGCATACTTCCTGTGAAACTCTGAAGCCCTAATACTCTTAAATGTTCTGCTTTCCCATGTCACCTTTGGATTGAATCAGTTGATTATCATCAGTTGGACTTTGCTTGTGCAAAATGTACTATGCAAGAAGAGACTGAAGCCATATGAAAAATGAGATTTTCAAAATGGAGTGCACATTCTGGGTTACAATGTAGAACAATGAGATGCAATGAAATATTCATAAAACGCTACTGAGGTTAGAATTATGAATTTGTTAATAGAGTTAGAAGAGAAAATATTACAATGGTTTTGCCATGTCAAAGGAACAGATCATAATAAGAATATTGACAAAGACATTAGATTTAAGATTTGAAAACAAAGAAAGCTATGGGCTAAACGAGAAACAGATAGTTCAGCCATGTATTGAAAGACATCAATAAGAGAGAAAAGAGTTGATTAAAATTAAAAAATAAAACGTTGTGGGAATAAAAAGAAACTGGAGTTGTTCATTCATTGACCCATATAGAAGAGAACTAATGCTAGAAGCAAAAGAAGGATATTCACTTTGCCTGTCATTACATCACTCAAAATAAAAGTACAGTCTCTTTTATTCATTTGTTCCTTACATTCTTCTTGCCTCATGAACTTCTCTGAACTAGGCCTGCCTTCATGCATGATAGTGTTAGGCTACAAACAATTATCAGAAAATTTTACTCTCATGGAAGTGTCAAACTTCCTCTCCTGTCACTTTCTGAGACAGTAAAATGTAGGTACAAGCAGCTTTCTACCTTGCACAATAATTACATAATTATAATGATATTCAACTTAAAAGTTGTGAAGGCTGAATGAAACATTCTGCATACAGAAAGCATCTATGGAGTAAACAATGAAGGTAACAGGGAATATATTCAACACTATACTCTATGGGCTCCTGACAGTGTTATTGAATAAACCACAAATAAAAAATAAAATTATAAAAACATCAGAGAGTATGCTTACCAGACAGAAGTGACAAACACAGAACATGACACTGGACCAGTGGTTACCACTCCTACTTTGTATTTTGAAGGATATATGTTCAAGCCTGGTGACTACAACTGTTATCACTACAATAAACATTTTCTTTAGTAAATGTGTCTTATTGAGGGAGAAATCTAAAATTAATCCAATGCCAGGAGATTGGGTACTGAACTATGTTCAATCAATGACTTAGTGTCACACATTCTTCACCTTACTATGGGAAACCATCATAGTACTTCATACTGCTATCTGTGATTTCAGAGATCTGGGTTTCTTATGCCAGTGATGATAAAGATGACAGCCTGCTGGGATGTAATGACATGTAGTCTGGTAGTTAATAACGTTTCAGAGGAACCTGCTGCCTCCATCTTCAGTGTAGAATAGAATCACACACAAAGAAGAAATGGTATGGATAGCTAGAGGGAGGAATAGGACAGGAGCCCGGAGTAAACCAACAGGAGCAAAGAAAAGAGTGTATAGAATACTTGACTCTTAGGATAATTATCCATGGGCACAGTGAATGGAAGAAACAATGGCTTTGAGAGAAACACCAGTATAGTCAAGTGAATCATGGTAAGGAAAGAGTGGCTCTTCAAAATAATGGCAACAGGTTTCGCAACATCACATCCAAGAAGACAGAAACTCTATTTCAAGTTCAATCATCATAACAAGTCTTTTCATGTACTGCATTGTTATAAGGAACATGAGATAAATGAGCTACTAATGTATTTTTGATGATATATTTAAATTTGAATTTGTAAAAGTTTTGGTTGTACAATCTTTTAACGCGTTCCTAGAAAATCATACAGTGAAGTTGCTAACATGTACAAGTACACCTTATGCCTTGGTGCAGCACATCCATCTATAAATTTATTCAATAAATTCTCTCCACCACTACAAAAAGCAATAACAATACAGTATATCATCGATTTAATCGACTAGTTGGGGGGAGAGCTGTCTGATATTGCCAAATGTCTGTATTCCTCAAAAATGTGTGTGATAATTACTAATGATTCTAATTTTTCAATCAATTCTAACTTTTGTTTTAGAGTCAAGTTTGACCATTTTATTTTTTTGTCCATAGTATATTAATTTTAAAAAAATATTCGTGAGACAGAACAAACCAAACACAGCACAGCATAAATTTAATTTGCAATAGAATGATGTGAATGCTAAATATGCTTTACATTCACACCATGACTGACAAAGTATGCATATGATCCAGAGTATTATGGGGAAGTACCAACATGTCAACCAAAGAATAATGCGAAGTACCAAAGAATCTTGCCCACTGAATCCTAAATCTGTTAAATCAAGGATTTATTGTAATGTGAATTTCCATGAGATATATTTAGGCAACCTGTAAATTTGCTTTGATGTTAAAAATACTTTTTTTGTCTTCCTTTTATATAACAGATGAGTCTGTGAAGATCTTATCAAATTTCGTGGTCCAGTACGAAGCAGTGCTGTCTCAGATTCAGATGGTCCTGGATTTAAACAGGGACTGACTATCTTGACTGAGAACTTTCATGTTTCTCCTCAATAACCTCTGGCAAATAATAGGACAACATCTCAAATCAGGCCACAAATATTTCTTTCCACATCCTTTCTAATTCATTATTTATTAATCATTCAACACTGTACAGTCTAAGCTACTGATGGCATCTGTTACTGTCCCCTTTTCTTTCTTTGTACTTATATGCTGGCTGTGGTAGACCACTTGACTCCTATCAGCATTGTGTTACGGCAATAACTGAGGCAACCAGAAACTGCACACTTGTAGTCAGTCCATTGCTTGAAATCAACAACACATTTTCCACTGACCACAAACTGTTTATTTATTCATAAGCAAAATATTATAACTTCATTTGCAAGCATGGAGTAATATGGCCTTTTATTATTACAAAATTTTAACGATCCAAAGAGAAGGACTGATGAATTTAGAGAAACATGAGAAATGCACTCCAATGACATCTACCTCAGATCAATTCAGAACACCAAGTTTTTGAAGACTGGTAACCTGCGGGAGCATCGCTTCATCCCCCAAGAAGGATCTGAATTGATGGCCTCTCTCCCAGACAAGAATTAATTTCCTATTGGCTGATTTTAACTAGCCAAATTCATCATGCAATCAGCACAAGCCAATCACATAATGACCTTTGAGAATAAAACAGTTATCAAGATACAGAACTCGGAACCCCACATGTGAGAGTGCTTATTTTCTTTAGTTTAGGATCCAGCTACACCCTTCTGAAGACATGTTATGACAGCTACACATGTCAGCAAAACAAAATTCACATCTTTGGAAAACTACAGACTTGCCTCCCATGGTGACCTTGTCCCATTCTGGTCATCAAAACAGCATATAAACAAAAACAAGGCAATTGTTTGCTGTCCAGATATGAAAAACAAGTCATAACATGCTAATGAACTGGTCTCGCCAATAAACCAGTCACCCTCCTCAAATGGCTAGAGGGGACCACAGCGTCCATGGAGAACTGTAACAGGTTTGGACTGTCACACATTGTCAAATACACCATAAAATAAATAAACTGTGGAAGTCTGAAACCTGAAAGGATATGCGTGAATACAGTGTCCAGGTTGCTCATCAGTGAACCCAGCTTCCTGTCCAATGGATACTGCAAAGCTCTTTCCTCAGGGGGTAATCCAGCCACAGCATGAAATTGAGCACTCTCAACTGTGTACTGTCCAGGTTAAGAATGTATGGAACAATACCTCTACTCCCTTATACATCTTCCTGGAGTGGAGTACAATTATGCACAGGGACAGCATAACCTATATTACCTATTGTTGTAAATGAAATTTGAAGATAAATGAAACGGTTTTATTGTATGCTCATGTACAGAATAAATTTAACACACCCAGCACTTGGAGAACTCATATCAGCAGGCAAAGGTGGTTCATATATTTTTAATTATACTAGTGTAATCAGGATGAAGGAACATGTACCTTTGGGGAACAGTGTGGAAACACAAAATGTAACCCACTGAGGACCAATTCTGAATATACTGGTGTATATCCAGCATGTCCACCAGGTCAACCCAAAATATTTTTGTTTCCAGTTTACTGATTTTGTCTTCACACCAGTGCTGAATACACTTCATGTTTTATGTTCTCTGAGCATTTGAATCCTTATGCCTGTTCAAAGAATAAAAATTGAAGGTGTAATAAACTTGTTGCCCTGGAAAAATCAAGAATAACAGGAAAATTTAAAGTGGATTAGACATACTTGTTAAAGTATATCACCAAGAGGGTATAACACTTTTGAAATTATGAACTGAAATGATATCTGTAATATGAGTTGATGGGTCATGAGTAATTTGAAGTCATCATGGAATAACAGACGTGCTCAAAATTCAAAGGGAATAATGTTGTACTTAAGCAGGATTTGTATATTTTCTATACAATTCTACTGCTGACATAAGGACATATTTACCTTTGAGTACAAATATGTATATAGTGACCTATTTTATTTTATTTGCTTTCTATTCAACATGTTACATCTTCAGGGATTTACAAGGCAACATCTTCTAGCCTAAGGCTATTAACTATTTAAAATATGTTGTGATTATATCCTCATCCATTGTTTCACATGTGTAAATCTTGTTTAAAGTACTGATAAACCTCTCTATAATTAAAAAAGTTTGTATATTAATATAACACTTTGAGACATTATAGTTTGGGGACAGGAATAAAATGAACTTCAGAAATAGTATTTCTTTTTTATTTCTATTTTATTTAATGATGCTAATAACAGCTCAGAATATATAGCATCAAATGAGAGAACAATGAATTAAGAAGGACGTGGAAAAAGCAGATATCATACCACCTAGCATTTGTCTAGAGTGACTGAGAAAGACCATGCAACACCTCAGGGCAGGCAATTTCCAGGTTGATTCAAAAACGGGACTTCCCCCATAAAAAGTAGGAAGGTTGATCGCTAGTCCGTGAACTTTGGCTAAAAAATAATGAAGGTAGGGACTTTGGATACGCTATTCTAACAGAAATGATTATGATGAGTAATATCTGAGATGTATTGCTATGTAGTCTGGTAGAAACCTGCCTATGTTTCAGAGGAACATACTGCTTCCTTCTCCTAGTCAAAGAACAGGCCAAACAGGAAACCAACAAGAAGCAGGCAATCGGCAGAGGAAGCTGTCTGCTTCTCGCCAGTTTCTTGTTTGTTTACACTTCAATCCTGAAGACACAATTCGACCCTGAAGACACAGGCATTATACTTCAAAAGTTCTGGAAAGACAGCAAAACAGATCAAGGAGTGCTACTGCCTAGAGGTAACATTTTCCAGGAACGGTTACCACTTTCCATAGCCATTTATTGCTCTCATCTTCTGGGTCTATTCATAATTATTAGCAATTCTGGAACATATAACAAACTAATAATCAGCCTGCAGCCACCTGCTCAAGCTGGTTGCTCGCTTGCAGAGGAGGCGGAGATGGAGGCGATATGTTCCTCCAAAATGTCGGTTAATACACGATCTACATGGTACCACATCCTAGGAGATGGCATTCTTAATAATCACTGCCCCACTTAGACTAATTATATAAACGACTGGCAGCTGTTGTTAATAAACAATGTGAAAACAGAACCTGAAAATCTTCATTCTGACATTCAAGCATAGTGTTTAGTAATTCTACCTTCTTCAAATATCTCCTCAAAAGAGTTTTGAATACAAATTCAGAGTTTTCAGCAGTTTTATATTTGACATTTCTCAGTTCATAAACTGAGATGGTTTAAATTTTACTGTATTGCAGGCTTTCCAAATTATGTCCTCACATTTAGCAGTGGATTTGTTTTCTGTTGGACCTTCAAGGACTCAGTTATGTGGAAGAACAGTAGTGACTGTTCAATGGATAATAAATTTATGTTGCAAAGTAGAGAGGACAGAGGCCATGCCACAGCTTAAGCAGTCAGGTGCTGGCTTCTCATGTCAGAGGCCAGGGCTCAGTCCTAAGTAACTTCATGTATGACTCATGGTTGAAGAAATGGCACTGGAGCAGGTTTTTTCTTCTGAGTTTCTTCATTTTCTCCTGCTGCTCATCAGTCAACCATTGCTCGATATCTATCACTGCCCCATGAGGTGTGTGGTAGCCCTGACCAGACATCACATTCTTGCATCCTTGGGCTGTAATTTTGGAGCTCATCTCTGTCCCATCATTTAGCTGGTCACGGAGTAAAGAAGCTGGTGTATTAAGTGGAGAGAGTTGTCATTCTTCATATACAAGTGCTCTATCTTGTTTATGACATAAGGCTCTGTTCTGTACGATCATTTTAATCATGTTCTTCAGGACAGTCAAATGTTAAGGCCACCAACAAAATTTTCAGTGCACAACTGCCTCCTCCTACAAACTTTAATCCTTCTGGAACACTGAAATATTAAAAATGAAGCTTTCAATTAACTATTCCACAAAACCAATAACAAAAGTAATCAAAATATAACAGAAAATATGAAATCTACAATAACTTAGGAACTGTTAACCATATCTCTTTCCTGAATATTTTCAGTTACTTGCACTTCAGTACCATCTAATGTCAGGAGCCAAAGTTAGAGGTGATTATACCACAGGTGGATAAGAATGGATGTGGCAACTGTAGGACCAACATCAGGATTGGCAATTAAATCAGGGTGAGCTAATTGCTAGTTAAGTGATAATAGTATGATAGATCATTCACAATGCTGCAAAGGCACAGCTGACAGAAACTAATTTTCCATAAGCAAGCAATGAGCTAAAGATTGTGAGAACTGGTAGATGTCTTCTGATTTTAAAGTTATTATTACAAAGTGTTTTGCTAAACCCACGTTTATCCTACTGACCCAAACATGTTTTATTTCTTCCCTTTATATTATGTAGTATTCTTTTTCACACAAACAACAATTAGCTCATGTATTATTATTTTGAAAGAGGTAACTTAAAATGTGCTCCAAAAAAAATTGTGAAAACTATGGTAAATGCCTATGCATATAATCCTCTTTTTTAAATATTTTTGGCCTAAATGATTGAATGGAAATTTAGATAAAATAAATGGGATCATGGTATCTATTGTGGATTAGTAACACAAAATATTTACACTTTGATTCAAACATAACCTCAACTGGTTAACATGTGCCTACATCATAAGTCGACAATTTATAAAACCAGACCCACTTAAGCAATATGGAGCACCCATACCTCAGTCAAGTAACATTATTATAAATAATCTATAAAAGGTTATTTGTGCTGGTTCATTAATAATTTAAAAGGACACATTCATAGTTGATCACATTTCAGCTCCCATAATCATCACAAATTATAATAAATACAATAGTATTATAAATATATTATAAGGCTTTGAATATGTTGAGACTACTACAACACCAAAGGAACACTTTTCTTCCTCCCTATTGGACTGGATGGTATAAGTCACAGACAGTACATGCCATCACATACCTGTTTATATTCCACTGATCCTGCCATCAGTCTGAGTGAAATCAATGCACAAAGGAAGAGTAACTGAATTAATATTGCAGCATACTAAACTCACTCTTTCTACAAAATGCATCAGTCACTTTACTCTATTTTTTAATTCAAAACATTATATACAGTGTAATAAAATTAAATTTACATTAATTCTCATGAGAGAAGAGGCTGGCTCATTGTTGGTATTGTAGTTTCTTCTGCTGAATATTAAGAAATATAGGAATGAAGTTATGAGATACAGCTCTGGCATATTAGTGGATCTCAACAAACCCACTTGTCTGTTTGTCTGTGTTGAGTCAAAATCAAGTTCCTCAAATGAAAAAGAAAATCTTTAAATTTATTAAGATCCTCTCCCACTCAATTTATTTATTTTTCCACACAGGTTGAATGGAGAATTTGAGCAGTAAGTGATATCTTACAAAACTATGGGACCCCGCATCAACACAAGCCAATCACATCATCATAACATCTGATATTGAAATAATACAAAACACAGGTTTTAAGAAGCTCTTCTAAGTAAACATTTTTCGTGGAAATGATGACAGCTGATGATAGAGAGACTATTACTGGTAGAGTCACCTAGTGGCAGAAGTAGTATGTTTTTATTTTGAAAAATAAATGTATATACAAAAAAAACTAGCCAATGCCCATCCAGCCTTAGAATTAGCACTAACTGCAACCCAGTATGTGCAGCCCCCCCATTGTTGCACTGTGTTACTATGTAAAATCTCATATAAGGTCATTACAATTTTACTGCATGGAGAGATAAGATTTATACTTCTCAAGTAAAAGTAAAAGCAAAGCTATCCCTGTAATAGGCTATGGAGGCCCATACGGTTGTGAGACTCAAGGCTCCCACATTTTCTAGACAGTTGGCTCACAGATGGCAATGAGGCTGTCACCCTTATGTGCTGGCCGCTTCTTACCCCCAGCAAGATTCCTGGTACTCATTTCTGTTAGAGGCTGAGTTGTCACCAGGGCCATAGTATGGCTGAAATGATTAGGTCAATTGAAAAATCCAAAGATATGAAACTAAATAAAGACCATTGACTCCCTTTTTCTTTTTTTGCAGAAACATTTGGTGTACTGGAAGATTTATGTCTTTGATGCAAATAACCTAAGATCAGTATGGACATAAAAGGACCCAATGTTGTGCTGAACTTTAGTCTTTACATAAAACATTTTAATTTCTGTTCACATTTTGGGCCACATACATGCAATGTTTTGAAAATCATTCTGGTATACACATATGCAAAACAAAACATATTTAAATATGACCTCTCAAGAAAAGTATTTGAAGTAAAATTCGAACCTATGTTTCCCTTTTAAAGCTGCAAGGGAAGAAAGACAGTCTACAACTGTTGATTGGTTAGTAAAATCTTGTGTGTGTTCAGAAGACCAATGTCGATTGCTGAATATATAATTTCAGAAATGTATGCATTGCATAATAATGTTGTCAGATCTGAGGTCCTCATAGTGATGGCTACGAAGAATTATGTATCAGGAATATAATGCTATGTAATTGGATGAAAGTCAACCAGTGTTTCAGGGAAACATATTGCTTCCAACTTCAGGATCAAAGTGTAAGCTAAGCAAGAAACTAGCATGCAATAGGTAAGCAGGCAGTGTACTGGGCATAAGATGTGTGCTCAGTCCTGTTCTAACAATATTTTTTTAAAAATTTTAACTGTTATAAACACGTATGGAGATATGCTTGAGATTCATTCAGAAATGCATGTAGAGCATGTAATGCATCCATTATTTTTGCCCACTTTTAACTGAAACTGGGATAAGCCGACAAATTTTAGTAAGAAGGATACTTATTTTATGGGATGTAATGCCTGTGGGAACATCCCACATTATCACGCATTTCTGCAACGCTCACTCTTCACATCACTTTTCACCATCACGCGTGCTAACCAATCAGATTGCTTCAAACGTTCGCATTTATACTGCGCTCACTGCTAGCCCGCATCTACGTCATTACGCGCGCCAGCCAATCAATTCTTCCTCCTCAATTTCGAGTTTCGCTCCACCCACCGAGCAGTGTATAAAAATGGGCAGCTCCAACGGTGAGTTATCAGTCTGACTTCAGTCTACGATCAAGCAACACCAGCCAGCAGGCTTCGTCGCCAGCGGTCGGTCTTTGGAGGCATCGGCAGGCTGCGCCAGGCACGACTGCCTTGGCCCTCCGGCTCTCTCACACCCGACTCACTGGGGCACCGCGCCTGGACTCGCCGGTGGTCATGTTACTGTCCAACCCACTGGGCATCTGGCGTAGCCACTGCCTCATAACTCCTACAACCGTGCTCAACGACTAGCCTTTCACCAGCAGCCACCGCACTGCAATCAAGCAACCTCCAACTCACGCTGCCGCACGGCAACCAAGCAACCTCCAGCCACGGCCGCACTGCGGCCAGGCCACTTACCGCAACTAGCCTCTCTCCTTACCGGCGTGCGCCGAGCTACCTCACCGGTCAAGCATTTCATCAACCACGGTCCTTTTCAGGACCAACAAACTGTTCCGAAGAAGTGGGTTGTCATCGGAGTAATGGCAAAACTACATTAAGAGCCCCACAGCCATATATTCCAGTACAAGTATCCCAGAAGACAGCATTCTTCATAGTCACTGTTGTGAGAACCTCAAATCCAACAAATATTCGTAAAACTCCAAATTATCAAATTTCATGAAAATCCTTTGAGCAGTTCTAAAGTCATTTCATGTATAGAGACAGATAAAGAGATTTTAACAGACACTCTGCAGAATTTCAAACATGCCTAAAGAAGCATTTTTGAGCATTTACAAAATTTCTGTTAAAAAAGGCAATTTTGTAACCGAGATCTGAGCGGTACAGGATATGCACATTTCTTGTGATATAGAATGAGGCTTTGCATCTGAATGTTCAAAGTTCTGTTTCATTTGAATGAATTAAGGGCTGCAATTTCAAAACAGTTTCTCTGTCCTCACTTAGTAATCTTAGTCACTTCACACCAGCTGGCACAGATCTGCAAGCACCACATTTTACCAACATGATATATTAAAATGATTCAAGTAGTAAAAAAGTCATTTCAGCAAACAATCCATTAATGTCCCAGCACAAAATCAAAATGTCAACCACACCAACTTTCTTGGGACCTGCTTGCCATGCAAAAGCAACAAATGCTAGCAAACTGACATACATAACCAACATTAGTGGACTGCGTGCCGAGATGCAGCCTACTCTTCTCTCAGTAATGATTATGGGAGAAGTTATTCATAATATTGCCTTGTTTGTACAATTTTAAGAACACACAAAAGTACAGGAACAAAATTAGAAGATTTAAAGTTATTCAAGTTTCAATTTACAGGCAGAAAAAACATTCATATATAATATATAGTACTAAGAATCTTTAAATCTACAACATACATCAGATTACCTACGAAATATCTCAGATGTATGGTCTATCTGGATCATGTATTCTCACTTTGATAACCACATCAATACTGAAAGATGCAGTCATGTCGTGATATATTCAAAGATCTTGACATGAAAATTGACACACAAGAGTTCTTCATAGTGATTATTTTAACTAGACCGAGTGTTATAATGCATTCATTTATATCTTATTCTTGCCTGGCAAGTCTACTTGGAGTGGTGTAATGTGTAATTCAATAACTGAGGTCCACTGAGAATTTGTTGTTCAAACTTACCATGCTACCACATGCATTCTTGCTTTCACTCACAGATTTTCCTTTGAAACTAATTTCCTTTCCAGAAAAAATACTTACTAGAAAACATTTCATCCATATTTTTGTTGATCCTTCAATTCTACTTATTACATAGTATAAAACTAGCTACAGACCTATACACAAAACACTGCAATTAATGTGCTTGAGATCTGCAAAGCCTTTGAGATGTGCTGTAATTAT